ATATCTCCTCAATATATGTTTCACTCTATATGCATCTGAAGAAGTGGGTTGTAGCCCACGAAAGCTTATGCTCTAATAAATTTGTTAGTCTCTAAGGTGCCACAAGTACTCCTGTTCTTTTTGCCCATAAATCTAGCTCTTATAAATCTAGAGCCATGGGCTTGCAAAGGCAGGCCACTGAACTCTGACTAGCCCACCTCATTGAATGGTTTCTTAACCTCCGTAGGTGTTATATTCACAGCATACAAACTTAAGTTAGACATGGCTTTATTTCTTAGCCTCCAGAACCCTACCACACCAAAACCAGAGAGAGACAAAGCAGGCTGCTCCCTAAGGCAGAGGGGCCCAAATTACTCTAGGTCAGCTCTTTGCAGTCTGGCTGCTGAAGACCCTGATCACACACTTCCCTACCATGCCCCCTAGCCTGCAAGCAGGCTGGGGAAAACCCCTGAGAACGTAATGTGATAGCTTATAATTTTAACAGAATTTCCAATACACCATTTCAGGCCCCGATTCTGTGTCCTCCCATCTGCATCCAGTGCGGGGTTGGGAGGACTGAGGGGCTGTAAGCAGGGTCCTGCTGTTCCCATGCAGCAGAGATTCAAGCTCTCAATTTGCATGGAGAATACACTGCCTCTTCACCAGCTTCCATTCCACCACCTGGGAGCGAGGTGCATGTCCTGGAGATCTGCAAGTGACCCATTACCTTGTTAAAATGGGCCTTTTAAGAAATGTTCTATATCTGACCCTTTTCCCATAACCCTCTAGTTCCCAAATGGCTGGTTTGTTCTCGGTCAGTTTGCATGCCACTAAAATTTACCACCAACATTCCTTCACTGTTCATCTAAGGACGTTAGATTGTAATTAAGCAATGTCAGTCGGTGCTTTTCCTATCTTGGTCACCATTTGCCCTTACTCCCATTCCTGGCAACAGGTCTGTCTCTGCATTCCTGCCCCGAGGCACGCTCTAGCCCAGGCTTTGCACGCTCCCAGCCTCTGCCCTGTGCTGTGTGGGTGTTCCACCACGCTGGTGCAGCTTCTGGGGCTATCAACAAAGACAAAAGACATGGACAGACATGAGCTGCCCCAAGGAGGGCTAAGGCTCTCTCTTCAGCTCCTTCTGGGAAGCTTTGGCCCCAACTGGGCTCACAGGCTAATACGGAAGAATAATCCCATCAAAAGTTGATCAGCATCATGACCCTCCTTTTCTTCAGGGAGGAGTTGTAGGGCAGTGGTCAGCTGAGGAGCTCCTGCCTTGCTCCAGGGGCTGAGGACCAAAGATCTGCTCTCCCGCCAGCTGTGCTGGGTTTGCCCTTTTTAAGTTCCTCCCTCCAACTCCGATGCCTCTCACAGGTGTGATGGGGTGGGGCCACTCGAGCCCACAAGAACTCATTAACCTGTGCTACCCAGTGTGGGGTCTGTATACCCCATCACAGGAACCAAAGCTACCAAATAGGATTGAAGATTTAAAAACTAGAATGATGTAAAATTAACATGGACCACATTACATGGATTAAAAACTGGCTAACTGATAGTCTCTAAATGTAACTGTAAATGGAGAATTGTCATTGAGGAGTATGTTTCCAGTGGGGTCCAGCAGGGATCGGCTCTTGGACCTACGCTATTTAAAATTTTATCAGTGGCCTGGCAGAAAACATAAAATCATCACTGATCAAGTTTGCAGGTGACCCAAAAATCAGGGAAGTGGTAAATAATTACTAGGACAGGTCACTGAGTCAGAGCAATCTGAATCTCTTAGTAAACTGGCAAATAAACTTAGTCGTATTAAAACACATATGTTTTGATACAGCTAAATATAAATGTATACATCTAGGAGCAAAGAATGTAGGCCACACTTATAGGATGGGGGACTCTATCTTGGGAAGCAGTGACTCTGAAAAAGATTTGGGAGTTGTGGTGGATGATCAGCTGAACATGAGCTCCCCCAGTGTGAAGCTGTGGTCAAAACAGCTAATGCAGGCCTGGGATGCATCAACAGGGGAATTCTGAGTATGAGCAGAGGTTATTTCACCTCTGTATTTGGGACTGGTACGACCGCTGCTGGAATCCTCTGTCCAGTTCTGGTAGCCACAGTTCAAGAAGGATGTTGATAAATTAGAGAGGGGTCCAAAAAGAGGCATGAGAATGATTACAAGATAAGAAGCTGCCTTGTTGTGAGAGACTCAAAGAGCTCAATCTATTTAGCTTGACAAAGGGAAGGGAACAACGATTTAATAATGTAGCAGGGAAAGGTCTAACTTGATCCAATGGCTGGAAGTTGAAGCCAGACAAATTCAGACTGGAAATAAGATGTCAATGAGGGTAATTAACCGTTGGAACGATTTAGCAAGAGGCGTGGTGGATTCTCCCTCATTGGCAATTTTTAAATCAAGATTTGATATTTGTCTAAAAGACCTGCTCTAGGAGTTATTTTGGGCCAGTTTCTGGCCTGTGCTCTACAGGGGGTCAGACTAGATGACCCAAGTGGTCCCTTCTGGCCTTGGGATCTCGGAGTCTGTGACGACGCTCGTGCCCACAGTAAAGACGGACACTATGTGGCTAGTGGAAGAGGCGTCCCTAGCGGATAGCTGCTGTTTCCCTTTGTTTCCAACGGGACTGGTGCCACAAGCTGCCTTTGGGAAAATGGCTCCTGTTCCTCAGAGGTTTTGCTGGTGCCTTCGGTCTCTTCACTGTAGTGTCAGCGTTGGACAAGTCAATGTTTTAGAGCTCCTCTAGCTCAGGTGATAGAGGTCTGGGCTGGGATCTATTCCTGGCTCTGGGAGGGGGTGTGGGCTGGTGGTTAGCGGCAGTATTCTGAATGGTAGCATGTCTGCGACTGGGGTCTGCTGGTAGAGACCTGGGTTCTATTCCCAGAGTGACCAGAGATCGCCTCAGTTACCTCATTTGTACAACAGGGAGGCTGGCTCTTACCTACTCCCGGCCCCAGGCGTTGCTCAGGACTCAGGGCTGTGACACACATGCAAATATAAACAGATGTGAGTAGACGAGGTGAGAATTGGTCTCCTGGCTCCCACCACAGTGCACCTTCCCCGAGGCTGTTTTAATGAGGACCGCTCCCCCCGTTTCGGTTAGGCTGTGGTACACTTGAGGGCTCTGCTAGCCGTGTGAACGTGAGGCTGCCGCTGAGTCGAGATTGCCAGATTGTTTCCAGCGGGTCTGAAGCCGCAGACTGCGCTCAGGGAAGAGGGCTGCCCCCTGTGTTCTAGGGTCAGGAAGCTGTGAGAAGAGGGCTCATGTGACAGAGCTCAGCTCGGCTGGGAAGAGACGGCCAAGGTTCCCGGGGTTGAGACGCTCTGAGTTCCAGGGCCGGGGGCTCTCCAGCTTCTGTTAAAGCTGTGCAGCTTGGACGGAGACTCCTGTGCTCTGGGAGCCAGGCCTGGCCTGGCGGGCACAGGTCAGAGATCAGCACTCGACAGGCTCCGTTGTGCTGGAGTTGGGAAGGGTAGAGATGGATTCACCAGGCCTCTCCATGCAAGCAATTAACCCCCTCTTCCCTGCAACCTCAGACATGGGCGCTCCCTCCTCGTCCCCACACGCCAGTGTGGGGGTCTGGAGGGCATCCCTGCCCCCCCAGACCTGAAATCCTCCTACATAAACAAAACAAAACCTTTACCTTGGAGGGGTCAGGCTGGTCAGTGTGGCAAACCCTGAAAAGCCAGGAAATGCCAAGTTATGGGGCACCTCTTCCCTAACCCCTCACAGCAGGTCTTCTGCATTGTCACCAGGGATTTCTGCCTCTAGCTGACCAGGACTCATCTCTGCCCATTGCAACACACCTGACCCGCTCTAGTTCACCTGGGAGGGCTGGGGACGATGCAGGGATCCCTGGGTGAGATCCTCTGGCCCATGATATACAGACTGGTCACAATGCGCTCCTCGAGCCTTAATACCCATGAATAACACAAAATCTTAACAGCCACCTCATCGGCTATTCAGGGCTGACAAGTGCCCTGCGGCGAGCAATGGGCCATAGAAACAAGCCCTCTCCACAACCCCCATCCTGAATTCCCAAGCAGGGTGTTTCCCATGAGGGATGGGGGTTGCCTGGATTTCTGTCCCCACCCAGAGGCCTTGCCTTTGTGCCCTGGCGGGGTGGATCTGCCACCCACCTGCCATCTCCTGTCCTGTCCCTGCAGAGTGGTGTATAACCGCAGCACCGGCAAGATGTCCAATGCGCCTGGGGTGCAAATCCGCGTGCCCGGCTTTGGCAAGACCTACTCCGTGGAGTACCTGGACAAGAGCAAGCTGGCAGGTGAGGGGCGCCCTTCTCGGTGTCCAAGGCGAGGGGTCCCCGTGGTCTGGGGGGAGCTCCCGAGGGTGCTGATCCTGCTGCTGGTGCCCAGCAGTAGAAGAGGGTCCCTGGCTGCTGCAGGATTTGCCCAGGCCTGGCTTTGCAGGGCTCTCTGAAGCCCAGGACCATTCCCTTTATCCCTGAGTCTGTCCCAGCTCTGGGACCCTTGCACATCCAGACCCCACAGCTGGGAGGGGGCGGCGGGAAGCTGAGGGCCAGGGGAGGCAAGATCTCTGCAAAGCCCACGGTGCAGTGACCCATGTCTGAGAGGAGAGGGCTGTACAATGCCACTCGGCATAACCATCCCAGGGAATGAGGGGACCCAGAGCACAATGCCCAGAATGCACTGAGCCAACGCCTCTGGCCAGAGGAACCCAGACACTGGGCAGCCAGGCAGGAGCTTGCCCACAGCCAGGAAGCGGGGAGGAATGCAGTCTGCCCCCAACTCCCATGCTATGTCTCTAGAGCCTCCCAACCCCCACCCTGTACCTCCCTGGACCCCCACAATCCTTGCCCTGTATCTCTGGGGGTCCCCCTACCTCCATGCTGTCTCTCTTGGGGTCCCCCCAATCTCCGTGCTGTCTCTCTGTAGGTTACCTACACACCCTGGTGCAGAACCTGGTGAACAACGGCTACGTGCGGGACCAGACGGTACGGGCTGCCCCCTACGACTGGAGGATTGGGCCCAGTAAGTGCAGGGTTGGGACCAGCTTCCATCTCAGCCCAGACAGCCAGGGAGGGAGGCGGCAGGGCACCCACACAGACAGCTTGGCGCCCAGGGAGAGCCCCGTGCCCAGGAGGGAGACCAGGCCAGAAAGCCTGGCGGGGAGAAGGGTGGGAGAGCCTGAAAGAGACACCCTTGAGGGGAGGGGGGGCCATGCTGGCAGAGATGTGGGAGGAGGAACCCTGCAGGGAGTGATTCTCTCATGGGGGGGGCCCTGTATGAGTGCCCCCCAGTGCGTTTCCTCTTCTGCCTCCACTGGAGGGTCCAGATCTGGGTTACTGTGTCTCATTGTGCCAGGGTCTAGGGACCTGCCCCCGGCTGGGCTCCTGCTGGCCATGGCTGGCCTGCCCATGGCACGATGCCCCTCTCTCCCCAGACCAGCAGCCCGAGTATTTCCAGAACCTGAAGGCGCTGATTGAGGAGATGCACGACACCTACCAGAAACGGGTCTTCCTGCTCGGACACAGCCTGGGCAACCTCAACATCCTCTACTTCCTGCTGCAGCAGCCCCAGGCCTGGAAAGATCGGTTCATCGCGGGCTTCATCTCCCTCGGTGCCCCCTGGGGCGGGGCCGTCAAGTCCATGCTCGTCCTGGCCTCCGGTGGGTGATGGCTCCCACTGTCCGCTTCCTGCCTTCCTTTCATGGAATAATGGGGAGGTGTGAATCTGTTGTAGAGCCCCCAGGGTGGGCAAAGATCTGCAAACGGCTCCATCAGGAGCTCGCCAACCATCTGGTGTCTGACGGCAGTGCCCCTGAGGGAGCACAAGTCCAGTCACAGGGAGCCCGCCCAGGGTTTGCTGTGGGTAGCATTGCCGCACTGGCCAGGGACGAGCACTTCAGAGCAGGCAGGGGAGGAAATGCCTGTCGTAGAAAGGGAACAACAGTAAAAAGACTCTCACTGAAGCTCTACCTGCTATTGGCTGCACGTACCACGCACACCCTCCTCCCAATTCACTCCACTTACAGCTCCTTGGGAAACAGTTCCTCCCCCCAGAATAGCCCCTTGCCTGGTGGTTAGGGCACTCAGCTAGGATGCAGGAGACCCAGGTTCAAGATCCTGCTTTGCCTGATTTGGGGGCATTTGAACTAAACTCTCCCTCCTCCTAGGTGAGAGCGCTAATCAGCAGGCAAGGGGCTATTCTGGGGCAGGGCTCTCTCAGGCTCTCCTGTTGAAGTTCTTCCACTTTGTATAAATAATCCCTGGGCCAGAGAAACTGACTCTATAACCCTGCATCAGGGCACTCCCCTAGAATGGCAGAACGTGAACCTGTCTCTCCTACAGCCCAGGTGCACGCCCACCCCAGTGGCCTACAGAGTCTGGTTGTTTTGTTCTCTGGCCTGATGACTTGTAGTTATACAACGGGGCCCATTGGCTGCTCTGGGGTAGGTCTCTCTCCCCACCAGAAATTCCATCGTGACCAGCGTCCTCTCCTGATGAAAGCTGCATCGCAGCCAATATGTTCCTGCAAAGAGTCCCCATTGAAACAAATCAACGTTTCCCAACAAAAAACATGGTGTCGAGAGTTTTTTTGACCAGCCCTACACCCACCCTCACTCACCAACTGGCTCCATTCCCCCACACCCCACCCTGCCAACACAGCCGGTCCCCTCTCCGTTGCGTCTGTACTCTCTTTACACCACGTGCCGAAGATGAGGAAACCAACAGATACAGCTAGGGTCCAAAGAACGAACTAAGCAAGGACTAGCTCTGTGTATACACTGCTGCTCTGGCAGGGCTCTGGTGGCTTCTGCTGCAGAAGACAGGGAGGTCTTTTAAACTATTTCCTCTACATTACACCTCCCCACTCTAATCCTCCCCCAGCCCTACCCCCACAAGTTCAGAAACACCCCCCCACACACACCTTCTTCCCTGAGACACAGAACCCCTCGACTTCCTACCCAGTCTCTCCCCCATTCAGAACACCACTGAGCCCTCACCCAGTATTGTCAACCCCAGATATTCAAAAATCATGAGTTGGGCTTAAAAATCATGACATTTTGAGAAAAAAAAAAAAAGACATTGTGGGTGCTTTGCCTTCTGCTCTCTGAGCCTTTAGGACTGCGTTAGAGTCACGTTTCCATGCCTTTCTCCACAGCAAGGAGGGTCAGAAACTTACTTTTGGTTTAAAGGACGCTGATATTCTCTGGAATAATCACAGGACTCCAGGAGCAGGGTCTTTCCAAAATACACCAAATATGACAAGACTCGCAGGAAAACCAGGAGAGTTGGCTGTTCTGACCAACACCCTTGGAAACACCCTGCCCCTGCAACACACACACAGAGCCGGCTTAGAAAACCTAACACAGGCTTAGGACCGTTTCCCTTCCTGCCGGACACCCAGCACCACCAGCTGAGAAACTCCCCCAGCACAAAACCTTGTCCCCATCCCCCCCAACACACACACTTCTGGTCGGGCTTAGAGAAGCAGGGACAGGTGCCCAGCAGGGAAGGACTGTGGCTGTAAGGAGTGGTGTGGGGGATTCATAGGGAGCGCTCTCCCCTTAGAGTTAGTGCTGACCCCAATGCCCCAGTGCGGTGCAATAGGGTGCTGTGCTGCAGCAGGGCAGGGTGCTCTGTAGGGGGCGCCCTCCCCACGCAGTCAGGACTGACCCCAGTGCTACAAGGTGCTGAGGGCTGTGCTGCTGGATGTTCCATCATTTGGATTAGCCAATAATCCAATAGTTTTACCTCAAAACAATATTTCTCTTGGGCTCCTGCCCTGAATTACAGCGCATCTGTTGAGCAGCAGCTTTGCCCCCTCCCCCCCGCCCCCCAGTGGTGGCAGCATTTCAGCAGTGAATGATCTCTGTATATATAGTCTGTACATTGCTTTGGGACCCTTGGGACATCTGTTAATTTTGCTAGAGCTGCTGTTCCTGATGAGTGCCCGTGTGAATTGCAGGAGATAACCAGGGCATCCCGATGGTCACAAACATCAAACTGCGTGAGGAGCAGCGCATGGCCACCACAAGCCCCTGGATGTTCCCGACCAACATAGCCTGGCCCGAATCACACGTCTTTATCTCCACGCCATCCTACAACTACACGTACCGGGACTACCGGCGCTTCTTCCTCGACGTCAACTTTGAGGATGGCTGGTACATGTGGAACGACACCAAGGACCTGCTGAAGGGGCTGCCTCCTCCTGGCGTGGAGACCTACTGCCTCTACGGCACGGGCTTCCCAACAGTGGAGACCTACATCTACGATGAGCACTTCCCCTATGAGGACCCCGTGGACGTGGTCTATGGGGACGGGGACGACACCGTCAGCACCCGCAGCATGAAGTTGTGCAGCCGCTGGGCCAAGCAGCAGAAGCAGCGAGTGCATGTGATGGAGCTGCCGGGAGTGGAACACCTCAATATGGTTTTCGACAACCAAACACTGAGCTACATCAACGAGATACTGCTGGGCAGCTCCCAGGCCAGTGCGGAGGAGCAGGGAGGGCAAAAGACCCTCTTCCCACCCAACCCAGAGCCAACACGGGCCAGGAAGAACCTCTCTGGTCAGAGGGCCACTAAGAACCCCAAAATGAACTGAAGGCAGCGGGGGTCAGCTTTGCTCCCGACCGACTGCCCTCCAGCAAAGGGTTCAAATCCGAGTGCGTGTGGAGGGCAAAGCAGCACCCACTCCTGCTATGACTGGCTTTTGTGTTGTGAATGGTGATTAATTACACAGTAGAGGCTTGTTACTTGCATATTAGCAGATGGGTAATTAACTACATTGCCAGCTAATTCCATCACGCTGGCAGGTGTCACCATGACACTGCCATCACTGGCCAGCTAGTGTAACGCCGACAGACCCTGGTTGTTGGCAGGCGGGATCCAACCTGGGACCTCTGAAGTAGATGAGCCTCTACTGCATGAGCTAAAAGCCACGTGGCTCTTAGCCAAGGCTGTAGCAGACTCATGAATCTCTAGGTGCCACTAGCCAGAGACAGACCACCACACTCAACAGGCCACTTTGGCCACAGGGCAATCCCAGCCTGTGCCAGGTCTGAGCTGTGCCCCCTTGGTCCCTGTGCTGGGCTCTGCAGCAGGCAGGCTTGGATTTGCACCCAAGAAATCTGAGCCCAAGGGGCGCTGCAAAGCAGGGGCCTTTGTGGGGCCTCACTGAGAAGCTGAGCTGTTCAGCTCAAAGAGAACGAATCCTGCCCCCATCCTGGAGCCGGAGAGCCACAGGTAACTGAGTGCCTGTGACAGGCCCTTTAAGGCCTGTGAATGAGGCTGACTGCAGTGAGGGGCCAGTGCCCCACATCTGGGGTCCCACCAGGCTGTGCACAGGGACCAAAGGGAGCACGTTCAGACAGCATCTGCCATTGCACAAATGGTCTCTGTTCTCTGCAGTAACTGTGCAAAGTGCTCCGCTTCCAGGCATGCCCTCATTGCCGGCTGCAGCGGGCACACACCTCTGGGGCCGGGCCTTTGCTAACTGCTCCCATCACAAGCCCATCAGCACTAGGCCTAGTGGGAAGCATTGCTGCAGCAGACTGAGAGCTGCCTCTGGCCTGTGAGAGAAGCACCTCCCTGGAAGTATCCGTTGGAGCAGGGGGCTAGCCCCTGCATAAAGCACTATGAGGCCAGGCTAGGATCACTCCAGCCAGCCCAGGCCGGGGCTTGCAGAGCATGCACTGGCCTTGACGTGCTTGCCCAGGGCACTGAGGAACACTGTGTAAACACCTCTTTGCCAGAGGCGCCCGTTTCTCTCTCCGAAGGTGTCGGAGTCCCAGGAGAGCCTGTTGAGCATACTGCTGAGAGGATCCAAATGCTGAATCCCCGTGTGCTTTAAGCCGCTGGAGTCTGAACAGAGCCCAGGCACTGCCCTTACTGGGGGTCTCTAGACCCCTCTTGGGGTGCAGATCCTCTGTCTTAGCACCCCCTCACCATTGCTCTTTACTAAATCGCACAAGAAATGCGCAGGTCTACGCAAAAACACTAAACCTCCACGCTGTTCCCTGCCTCAGTATCCTCACCACTTCCGAGCATTCTTTGAGCTGGGGTCAGAGTCCTCTAGAGGCATCCAGGGTCCTTCTCCTGCAGTGCAAGGCTGGTCTCGCTCCCCCCGCTGGTCAGCATGCTCTGACCTTAGTGGGTCCTGCACCTAAACTGGGCTCCCGTCCCACTGCTATGAGCCTGCCCATCTCTTTCTCTCTCCTGGCCAGAACTCCCTGTGCAGCTCTGTAACACTTCCCCGACCCACTCCAAACATTGTGGGTTTTAAGGTCCAGCATCCATACCTTAGGGGCTTTCTTCTGGACTGGGGGGTCTTCCACCCTTCACATGCAAGCCCCCTCTTACAGGGTTGGGGGAAATTGATTTTCCATCTTCAGCCAAGCTCCTTAGCATACCCTGTTATGCAGTCCCACGACCTGTAACCAGTCTCCTGGGAGTGCCCCTATGGTGGGCCGGGCCCCGAGGTCCCACACCGTTCCACCAGGGCAGGCCTGTGACCTCCAAGACTCTGAGACTGGGTTGTGGGCACCAGTGACCCCGTCTCTCTTCGTGGCTCCCTGCACCGAATCCAGCCCAGCCAGACTCCTGTGGGAGATCTGTGCTGTCCCCCGTCAGGGTGCAGTGCTCTCAGTGAGTATCCACAGCGACACAGGCAGCCTCTCCAAACCACGCACCATCGATTGGTCACCTGGCTACAGAATCTGAACGCACTAGGGTTAGCTCAGAGATGCAGAAGTTAAGCCATAGTCCACCCTGGCTAAGCCATGATGGGCCAGCCAAGCTGTGATGGACTCATCTCTGGTGCTAGTCTCTGTCCTTGTTCCTGAGTCCCTCCAAAACGGCCACCCCAATTCCAGCCTTCTGACACCCTCTCTCCAGCTCAGTTCCCAAGCCCCACCTGCTGGGTTTCATGTGTTAGGTGTTGATCATTCAGCCCTTGGGGCATCTCTCTGTCTTGTTGGACCCCTGAATTGAGCCAGTTCTTCAATGACTCTCTTCATTCCAGAGACAGCGAGGTGACACTCACACCTCCTGCACTGTTCCAAGAGCAGTGTTGGCCGTTTTACACCCACTGGGTAGCAATGCAACATAGAGGGAAACTGAGGCACACATAGTATTTATAAAAATATTACAGAAAATTCCCACTTTGTCATCTCTCTTCCCCCTTCAAGACTGAACTGAGCAGGGTTACTTTAACCAGTGAGCTGGGGAAGTTTGAACACACAAACATTATTCAAAGATGCCACAGCCTATTTCCAGTATTGCCAAATGTTCAAAAATCATGAGTCAGGCGCACCAAAAATCATGAGATTGGCTTTAAAATCATGAGATTATGTAAAAATAATAGATTGGGTGTTCTTTTTATTGCCTCTTGCTTTTTGAGCCTTTAGGTTGCACTGGGGTCACATTTGGAAGCTTTCTCTACAGCCACGAGGGCTAAAAAGTTACTTTTTCTTTAAGAATGAAGGCTGAAATCATCACACCTCCACTTGACCTCAGGAGGTGGGGCTTTAAGGAAAACAATAATTATCATGAGACGCATGACAAAATCATGAGAGTTGGAAACACTGTATTTCCGATCCCTTGGTAGCTGTCCTACCAGGCACTTTCATGATTCTTACAGCACAGTTTCTAATCAATCAAACTTCCAATACACAATCCAGAGCAGTTTCACATCCTCCCTTAGGTCTGGTCTGTTGGATGGCACCAGCAGGATGCACATGGGGAGTTTTCATTCTTTTGCCACCCCAAAACCGTTGGGTTTGAAACTGGGATGGAGCCCTGCCTCTGCCTCCTTGCCCTCGTCTGCCAGGGAGCGAGGAGGGCAGTAAACCCACATTCCTGCATGTGTCAGCCATCTTGGCTGTACCCTGGGGTGTTCTTATCTTATCCCTTGCTTGGGGTAGGAAGTGACCCCTTGAGCATTTGTGGGGGAGGATGGGGGATCAGTGTAGATTTGTCCCTCTGCAAGGTAGGTCTTAACCCAGCCATATGTCTGTGGCTCTGGTGATGCAGAGTGCCCCCCACATTGGCAGGCCCCCTCTGGAGTTGTGTTCCAACCCCAGGGCTGTGTGTATGCAAGGGACCCATTTTGGGGTTAATGTGTTGCCCTCACCCCCAGGACAGAGTCCTCCTCACCCCCGGGTGGGCTGTGATTCAGGGTCTCTTGGTTAACAGAACCCACCATGGCCACGACCACACTGTGATGATGTGTCCGTTACCAGCAATGGCCTTCCGGCTGCTTTACCCTTCTATGGGGCTTCTCTTACCTGTGGACAGGACAACTATGTTTGGCAATCCCCCTTCCCTGCCTGTGTCTCCCCACACTCAACGGGGGGCTCAGCGACCGCAGGGCTCAACACTGCTTCTGCTTTCCCAGTCAGGGTTGGCCATGAGCTCGCTCCCGTGGTCACAGCATCAGGCTTGAGGCAATTATGCCTCAGCCAGCAGAGAGGGTTTCAGGTCATTCTTCTGCCCCATTCAGACTCAGGCGTCTAGCTACAGACAGAACGTTGTCTTGAGCTTCACAGCCTTTCCTTTGTGTTGCAAGCAAGCGGGGGAGGAATCGAGTCCTGTATCAGCCGCTCCATTATATTGCCCAGGATCAACGTCAGACCACCTGGCCATCCCATTTACGCTTTTGAAATATTGGCACAACATTCGCTTTCTTCCAGTCTTTTGGCATTTCCCTGGTTTTCCAAGACTTCTTGGAAAGCAACACGAATGGAGCAGCGAGCGCCTCAGCCAGCTCTTCTAAACTCTTGGGTACAAGTTATCCAGACTGGCAATCTAAAAATATCTAACTTTAGTAGCCCGTGTTTAACACCCTGCTGACACACTGGTGGAAGGGAAGGGTGTTACCATAGCATAGCGTCTATAGGGTGACTGCAGAGTGTCTATAGAGTACTTATATAGGGGCTAGGGTGGGTTGGGTCTCCAGGGGGCAAAGAGCCTATAGGCTCTATATAGGGCTGGGCAGAGCCTCTGAGAGGGGCCCTCCCCTCAGGAGGTCCCGGGGACAGGCGCGCGCACACTGAAGCAAGCCAGGGGCAGGAGCGCGCGCCAGAGCCCCCCCCCTCCGCAGGACCAGCACCTCGCGCGGCCCCGGTGGGAGGGGGAGCCCCGCGGCTGTGCCTGGCCAATGGGAAGGAGGGGCGGGGCGAGCTCCCCGTGAGTCGTTCCGATTGGGTCTCCATTCGAGGTCGGGCCGCCATTGGCGGGAGGCGGTGAGAGGGGCCGGAATGTAGGACAGCTGCGGGCTGCGCGAGGCCTGCCCGGGGTGAGGCGCGGGGCTGGGCTGTGACCGGGGCGGGGCGGGGCGGGGCGCGGCGCGGCGCGGCGGGGGTGGTGGGACCGGGCCGTGACCCGGGGCCGGACCGAGTCTCGCTCCCACCCGGGCCGCTGCCCCAGCCCGTCCCCCGCGCGGTGGGCGCGGCCGGCTCCGTGCGAGGGATGAGGCGGGGGGCGGCTGTGCCCGGCGCCGCGCGCTGTGGCGCCCCCTGGCGGGAGGGGGAGGCTGGGGCGGGGAGAGCGGCCCTGGGGGCGGGGCGGGGCCTGTTGTCTCGGGGCGGGTCCGCGCGGGCCCCGGCAAGCACGTGACAGGCCTTTGTGCCCCGCATCCTCCCCCCGGGTGCCCGCCCCGCAGCGCCCCCTGCTGTCCCCGCCCCGTCCCCGCATCGCCCCCAGTACCTCCCGCCATCCCCGCCCCGCAGCGCCCCCAGTACCTCCCGCC